CATGGGTTCATGCTTGTGTGTGTATATAGCGCCTCGCCATGGTAAAAGTCTGAACTAATAGGCGTGAAAAAGTGATGTTTTGACGACAAATTTTTTCTTGCGTGCCATTTTGTCAATATTTGCTTATTTGTGAAAATGTGACTTCCCTCGTACTCGTGAAAGTCCTAAAAATTGGCGGAAACTGCAGTTATCGTGAAATTTTATATGTAAAAGCGTATATTTCACTCGTTTCATCAGCTGTCAAAATGTGTGATTCTGCCCGAGTATAGACTCACTTTACGTGCCTTTTACGACCATTTACTGACTATCAGAGGAGGAAAGGACAGTTTCCGCCAATTTTCACAAGTGTTTTTGAGCGATCTCGCCTTTTAAATTTATCCAAATTGTCTTTATTAAAAAATGGGACGCAAGAAAAATTAATGTGTTTTTTTCGCCTATGACGTCACAATTCCAACATGGCCGTCGCTGGTATTCAGGAGCCTTAATTAGTGTAGTTTTGCACTCGCACCGTGTCAGGGCAGCACCCTATCAGGGCAGCACCGTGTCAGGGCAGCACCGTGTCAGGGCAGCACCGTGTCAGGGCAGCGCTAGAACCGTGTCAGTGCATATGTATCGAATGTGCCATTAGTAATATCTAGATAATTTTGTCTTCCGCTTTTCCGCTTTTCCGCGTTTCCGCGCTCCATGTAATCGCACCCTAACTGTAACATGATCGCAATTCGCAAAGAACAATTTGTTGAGGTGACTCGTTTGTTGTTACAAGAAAATAATTATTTCGGTATTTATTTAGAACACCTACCTTCTATTCCAATTTTGGTTGAAATTATAGGCTCATTCGACTAATTTCTTTCTATTATACTACTAACATTTAAAAAATGTTTAAAAATAAACATTATACAATGTTAGAGAAGAAAAAAAAGAAGAGCGATTCATCAACTCTTCATGAAAGAAATTGCGTGGAATGAGATATGCAAGCAATACAACGAAGCCTCAAAATGATTTCGCAAGAGGTAAATATTAAAAAGAGGTTAGTTTGAATTGTGCACATATTTAACAGTAATAAAAATCTTTGGTAATTATACAGAATCACTCGAGCACCTTAAAAATCGATCAAATTAGGCTTATTCGACGCGTTTTTGCATGAAACGAAAGAATCTGGCAGAAATAAGCGTCGCTCTGCCCTACGAACCGAGATATTTAATGTTAAAGTTGACGACTACTCAGGTTAGGAAATCTGTCTTACCGACTATATGTAGTGCTACGAGTATGCTTTCTTCATGCTCTCTGACCTCGTGCACAAGGGGCGCACAACTTCTACGAGTGTAACTGTCGGGGCAGACCTCTGACGACGGTGTGGGTGCGGGGGGGTGGCCGGAGGCCGAAGGCCGTAGGCCACCCCCTTGCACCCGCCCGTGTGTGTGTGTGTGTTCCATTCGTTATATAACGATTATGAGTTTATTACTTGATATTTTACACACCCACACCGTCGTCAGAGGTCTGCCCCGACAGTACAATCGTAGAAGTCGTGCGCCCCTCAGCAGGGGGGGAGGGAGAGATGGACAGAGGTCTGTCCCGACAGTACAATCGTAGAAGTCGTGTGCCCCTGTGCAGGAGGGGGAGAAGTTACTTCGCGTGGAAAGTTCAACGTTTCTGAACAGGGAAAGCTGTAGAATTTCGCGTCTGACAACAATATATTATATTTGTTTGGCAGTGTTAATTTCAAATATCGTGCATGCTATTGGACTCAAACCATACCAAGCGCATGCGCACGAGGTCAGAGAGCATGAAGAAAGCATACTCGTACCACTACGTATAGTCGGTAAGATAGATTTCCTAACCTGAATAGTCGTCAACTTTAACATTAAATATCTCGGTTCGTAGGGCAGAGCGACGCTTATTTCTGCCAGATTCTTTCGTTTCATGCAAAAACGCGTCGAATAAGCCTAATTTGATCGATTTTTAAGCTGCTCGAGTGATTCTGTATAATTACCAAATCTTTTTCCTGTTATAGCGTACATTACAACAATTGAAAAAGTTGTGGACTAACTTGAAACAGACTCAGAGAGAATTGTTAACCAAAGAAAAACAGGCTTGTTTTGCAACTGATGGTGGTCCACCACCTCCAAAGATAAATATTGATCCCGATATAGCCACAATAGCACCACATCTTACGACAACAGCTCCTGTTATTTTTACATCAAATATGACAGAAAGTGAAATTGATGGTAAATAGTTTCGAAAATATATTAATAAATATATACAGTAGTGTGCAAAGGTTTCAGGCCAGTGACATTTTATAATTTAAAAAAGAACCTGATAAAATTTTAATCATTATTCAATGTTAATACAAGATTTCGTTACCCGTACATCTTATACTAATACTCGATTATAATTAAAATTTTATAAGGTTTTTTTTCTTATAAATTATAATACGAAATGTGACTGGCCAGAAACTTTTGCACTGTACATATACATAGATATAGAGGAATAAATAAGAAAGAATGTTTAAACATCTTTTATTATCTGATATATAACTGCAAAATAAAATATATAATATTTGATAGATAAATTTTATAAATTTTAATGTTTATTACAGAATTTTGTTTTATGTATGTTTCAGAAAAGAGCGAAGATATTTTTCATATTTTAAAAAATGATACAGAAAGAGATAATAATATTATACTAGTTGATGAAATTAATGACGAAGTACAAAAAGGTAAAATTAAAACGAATTAAAATGTAAAATAGAAAAGGTTTTACAAAATTGTATTAACTATTATATAGTTTATTTTTTATACATATTATTTATTTTAATATATTATAATACTTTAAGACTGAGAAAAATTGTGTGTGTTTGCTATAATAACTTTTATAAGTAATATAAGTTAGCTTATTCAAATGTAAAAATATGATGTGGTAATTGATGCGCACACGTCCAAAATTTATTACGCTTTTGAGGCTTTCACGGGTATTTTCTTCAATTATACCAGAAGGTTTGCGGGTTATCGCCGTGTCTTTCTTCATTATTAATGCCAACGTTTCGTGAACCATGCCGTTTACTTCATCAGGGCGAGGGGTGAGCTGATATGTTGGCATTAATAACGAAGAAAGACACGGCGATAACCCGTAAACCTTCTGGTATAATTGAAGTTTATATTTATAAGTAAATTATATTTGACTTGCTTTCAGGTGAAAGAATAACTGAAAAGACTGTAGACAAAGAGAATCAAAATAAGATTGACTTTTTAAATAAAGGTAATGTAATTATTGTTAAATAATATTTTTTTATAAAATATAATTCTTAGGGAGCATCCCGATGGAAAAAGAAATAGCGGAATAGAATTATTTTGATTGGTTATTGCTCATTTCCACCAATGTAGACTTAACTTTAATCTTGGTTCAACTTATTCTTTATCTTTTTTTAGTTCTAAAGATTAAAAAAAGATGAAGACTAAATTGAACCGAGATTAAAGTTAATCTACATTGGTAAAAATGAGCATTAGCCAATCATAATGATTCCGTTTCCATCGGGATGCACTATTATAATCTTGATTAAGGCCCTTTTGACCAACTCCAATTAACTTTAATCAACGATTAGATCCATTGGAATTGACCAATCGTATCTGTCATTAAGCGAAATGACAATTGGTTAATTCCAATGAATCTAATTGTCGATTAAAGTTAATCGGAGTTGGTCTAAATGATTCTAAATATCATTGTATTTACAGCGTCTTCTTCGAAGAGAACGAGTTTAGATAACATTTATTCACAAACTACAAAACCAGTAAAAATACGAAGAAATACGTCAGAAAGTCTTGATAATGATGAAAATGCCGTAAAGATTGAAAGGATAAAAAGGGTAATGGAAGACGAAAAAGAAATGGCGAATGTACGAAAAAGTCATGAAAACAGAATGATCATGATGAAAGAAAATTTTCAAAAGGAATTATACGCTTTAGATATACGAGCAGCTACTGCAAAGGCCGAACTAGCCGAATTACAACTACAAAAAGAACAAGAAACAGGGCGAGGGGTGAGCTGATATGTTGGCATTAATAACGAAGAAAGACACGGCGATAACCCGTAAACCTTCTGGTATAATTGAAGTTTATATTTATAAGTAAATTATATTTGACTTGCTTTCAGGTGAAAGAATAACTGAAAAGACTGTAGACAAAGAGAATCAAAATAAGATTGACTTTTTAAATAAAGGTAATGTAATTATTGTTAAATAATATTTTTTTATAAAATATAATTCTTAGGGAGCATCCCGATGGAAAAAGAAATAGCGGAATAGAATTATTTTGATTGGTTATTGCTCATTTCCACCAATGTAGACTTAACTTTAATCTTGGTTCAACTTATTCTTTATCTTTTTTTAGTTCTAAAGATTAAAAAAAGATGAAGACTAAATTGAACCGAGATTAAAGTTAATCTACATTGGTAAAAATGAGCATTAGCCAATCATAATGATTCCGTTTCCATCGGGATGCACTATTATAATCTTGATTAAGGCCCTTTTGACCAACTCCAATTAACTTTAATCAACGATTAGATCCATTGGAATTGACCAATCGTATCTGTCATTAAGCGAAATGACAATTGGTTAATTCCAATGAATCTAATTGTCGATTAAAGTTAATCGGAGTTGGTCTAAATGATTCTAAATATCATTGTATTTACAGCGTCTTCTTCGAAGAGAACGAGTTTAGATAACATTTATTCACAAACTACAAAACCAGTAAAAATACGAAGAAATACGTCAGAAAGTCTTGATAATGATGAAAATGCCGTAAAGATTGAAAGGATAAAAAGGGTAATGGAAGACGAAAAAGAAATGGCGAATGTACGAAAAAGTCATGAAAACAGAATGATCATGATGAAAGAAAATTTTCAAAAGGAATTATACGCTTTAGATATACGAGCAGCTACTGCAAAGGCCGAACTAGCCGAATTACAACTACAAAAAGAACAAGAAAAATATATGCGTCTATAATATAGAATACGGACTAAAACTAAAATAAAAAAGCATAATTCTAAGATCGTTTTCGAGTGCACTGGTTTTTGCTTGAAGTCCATTGAATCGAGGTATATACCATAATTTCATCCAACCAAAAAAAAATAGAGCATATGCATACGCCTTTAAGTAATTGATTTTGAATCGATCAAAACTCAGTGCGCTCGAAAATTCTGTAAGTTATACTTATATAAGTTTATTTTTATTTTTGCATAAAGTTTTTTAAGTTGATATATTTTGTGCAATACAGAGATGCCTGTAGAATAAAACCGTAGACAAATTAATAGTTGGAATACCGGAGGTACAGGAAGGCCGCGATTATTAATCTTTGCCAGTCTTTCTTCGATGTTAAGTAAAATTCCATGCAATACAGATTCTTTATTGAATCTAAAACGCCTTTTAAATTCTCGATTATTATAAAATTCAAATGGATTGAGCCAATCTCTAATATATCTTTTTGGTACACGCACAATATTTTCATCATTATCAAAATCGATATCGTCAATTTCATTTAATTCAATATTTCTAATATTTTCAACTTCTATATTAAGGGCCGGTTGTTCCATCTTTTCGTAAATTTTACCTGCCAAATAAGTTGCAAGATTATTCAATTACATGCGCGAATTGTCAGATTTACAGTAAACAAGATTACCTTAATACCATTTTTACCTCGACTTGACGAAGATGCGTCTTATTTGACTATACATATATCAAATAAGAAAATCTTAATCGTTTATGAATTCATTAGTAATAAGGGTAATAAGGTAATCTTAAATCCATGCTTATATGAAATGAGATCTGTTTATGAATCACATCAAGATGCTTTCAAACAAGATCGTCTTCGACAAGCTATGCCTTGAGATCTTTCTCAAGTATCTACTTGTTTCGTGACTATGAATCGAAACGCCATTTTAAGACTATGCTTAAGACGGTCTTGAATATAAGAACTGAGTATCGATCATGAAACTTTGTCCCTAGGATGAAAAGTAAAAAGTGAAAAATTTCTCCATTAACTTCAATGGTAAAAACAAGGAGACTAGAACCAGGAGAGTAAACTAGCGTGGTGGGGGTAGGTCAAAAAACGTCCGCGGTTATTCAGACAATGCGCAGTGGCATTGCACATAGTATGAAAGTTTGCGCATGCGCGCATCGGTTATAACCAAGTTCCTTGTTCTTAAACTTTTTCGATTTTCTTTTTCTTGAGGATTGAAACAATTTCGAACACAGCACACTCGCTCGGTCATCGTAAGGGTCTGCGCACAATGGAGGAACAGATATTAGATATTAAAATATTAACCTATCCAGATACCAGTTACACCGAAATACACGATTCTGATAGGTTAATATTTTAATATCTAATATCTGTTCCTCCATTGTGCGCAGACCCTAAGTCACATAGGATAAATTTTTGGCACGTTTTATTTTTTTTAATTCAATCAAACAGAAACAAGGTTTGTTTGACATGCGCAGTCACGAATTGAAAACGACTATCAAAGCGGAGTTCCGTTGAACCACCCGACCGGTGCGGACGCGTCTCGGTTCGGGTGTTCGTTTTTTGTATATTTTTGAGAAAGTGTTGCCGACTTTGACCGTGCCTCGAATTTCCTTACTGATGTGTGTCCGCGTTTGGCTCGGCTCGTTCGTCCGTCCGGACGCGCGTTAGAGTGGCGTGACGACGTTGCAATCGCAGGCGCCCGGTGTTCGTTCGGGTTTCGCCATTTTTCGCGGGCATTGCATCATTCTTCGTTTACATATTACGACTTTGTTTCGTTTACACATTACGATTTTTCGTTCCTGGCCTTGATGATTGCCGTTGGATCGGCTACCCGGCCAATTATAATCAACAAGAAGAAGAAGAAGACTATCAAAGCGACAGAGAGGACTAATGAAGCGCAAGAGTGGGGGAAGTTATCCGCCGTCACTTTTTGGCCTACCCCCTCTACCGTATTTGGCCGAGGTTACTCTCCTGGTTCTATAGTCTTCTTGAGTAAAAATTTTCACTTTTCATTTTTCATCCTAGGAAAAAAGTTTCATGATCGATACCCTGACTATAGCGGGAAGCACAGACTTTTGCATAACGCATAAAGCATGTGCATAAAGAATTTCATTGGTCCATTTTCTTATGCATGAGTCAATGGACCAATCAAATTCTTTATGTATATGGTTTATGCGTTATGCAAAAGTCTGTGCTCCCCGCTTATGAATACGGCCCTTATGTCTATGGTCACCTCACTTGCGCCGGCATAAGCTGGAAACACAATAGGCACAGGCAACAAGGAATAACGAGCGGTCTAATCAAAGCTCTGAGATATAAGTTTAATATTATATCCCACAGCTCTGATTGAACGGATCATTATTCCCTGTTGCCTGTGCCTATGTGTTTCCAGCTTTATAGTGATGCGAGATTCTGATTCGATTATTCAAGAATCGATACTTTTTTTGTGAATTAATCGATTTATCAGACGATTCTTTGGGCGAGCGATTATTTTTCATAGTTTCAAATTAATGCGAGAGCCAATTCGCAAAGCCGCCATACTGATTGTATGTGCTTTATGCTGGACGTTTATTGGTTCAGCGATCTTATGTTATGCATATGCAGGTTATGTTATTTTGTGTGCGATAATCCTTAAGCCTATCGCACATGAATTGCATAATAGAGCATGAGCATAACATAAAACTGTTGGACCAATAAGCATCCAGTATAAAGTTGCCATATTGATTAACGTAAGATGCTCATTGGTCCAGCGGTATTATGTTATGTTTATGCACTGTTATGCATTTCATGTGCGATAGGCTTTAAGCCGTGTCACACTACGGATTGTGGACGCAGATCGGATTGAAATTGCAGATCGCGTATCGATATTCGGCCAATCAAAACAAAGCAGCTTTATTTTAATTGGTTGAATTCCGATGCGCGATCCGCAATTTCAATCCGATTCGCGTCCACAATCCGTAGTGTGATACGGGCTTTAATCACACTCCCGATACAGGCTGTCGACTCTGGATATCGATACTCTAATTTTTAACATGGTGAAAATGTAAGCCAACCACAGACGTCTATATATACTACTAGACTGCTAACTCCCTTAATACAAGCTTGTATATGCCTGGTTTATGCTTCGGTCTTAAGGTCTTAATCCTAAAATTCAGCCAATAGAGTTCAAATTTCTGTTAAAACTGGCAGCTTTATTGGTTGAATTTTAGGATCTTGGGATTAAAACCTGAAGCATAAACCAGGCAATAAAGTGGACCCTAAAATTTATAATGATCCTGCGCATGCATCACGAACTACACCGAAGGAATGTAAAGCCGTAATCACACTACGGGTTGCGCGCTCTGTTGCGATTGAGATTACGGTTGAATATTGGAAACTAATCAATCAGAGCAGAGCAGTTCCTGCTCTGCTCTGCGTTCAGCAGAGTACAACAGTTTTGCAACCGTTTTATAATTGTCTGTTAAAATAGGACCGTTCTTTAGATTTAAAAGTACAACATACATTCTACAATAAGGCATTATATATACTAAATCAGAATCTAAATCATTCTTCTTGCATTCGACTGTAATTAGTCAATTTTTAGCTTCTGACTACCTAGATAACATTTATGTTGCATAAGATCTAAAAGACATCTTTTAGATATCTTATGCAACATAAATGTTACCTGGGTTCTGATCTATTACTAATGGTTTATTGTATGTGTTTTTTCAATAAGTGCTAAGAAAACTTCTAATAGTTGCAAAATAATTGTTCTGAATGCATTGATAGAATATACTTACGTCATCAAATAGAAAGCATCCTCTATATAATGTAATCATTTTTATAATACATAGTATAATACATAGTACATGGAATTTCAGGTGATCTGCATGGAGTATCACAGCCAACTGTATCCAGAATTGTAGCAAAAGTATCAGAAGCTATCGCAGCTCATTTACCACACTTTGTGCGTTTTCCTGATAGAATGGAAGACTTGCAAACTGAATTTTACAACATAGCTCATTTTCCACAAGTGGTTGGATGCATTGATTGTACTCATATACGTATTAAGTGTCCCAACAAAGAACGAGCTATGTTGTACATGAATCGGAAAGGTTTTTATTCCATGAATGTACAGGTAGTCTGCGATGCACAGCGTCGAATTCTAGATATTGTTGCCAGATGGAGGGGTAGCGCTCATGATTCCCGAATATTGGACTCAAGTCGTCTGAAGGCAGAGTTTGAGATAATTATAATATCTTTATTTACACCTAGCACTGCATACACGTGTTAATACCTGATTCCAACTGTCAAGGGTAGTTTAATGTTATATAAAAGTACTATTGATCAATTATATTTTAAACAGGAATTCAATATTTACATTGAAATCAAAATCAGTATGTCAAACATCACTTATAATTTTTATTACTGTCTTCGAATTATTATATCTGTTATTTATATCATAGGAACACAGAATGACAGGAATATTGTTAGGTGATGCAAGTTATCCTTGCAGACCGTATCTCTTGACACCTTTTTTGAACCCTCAAACTGTTATTGAAAATAGAAAATAGATATAACTGGGCCTATATTCGCACTCGTATTCACATTGAAAGATGTTTTGGCGAATGGAAAGGGATGTTTAAAGCATGAACAAAACAATATGCAGATTAATTTAGAGACAGCAAAAATTGCAATTATTGCTATGGCAGTTCTTTTTAACATACGGAAACATTTTGACAATTTTGAATACGGTAAGCACATTTTGAAAACAAAAATGATTCGAATTACAATTTTATATATAATTTTATTAAGAATGAATATACATATACATACATATTTACTAACATGAATAAATATATATATATATATATACACGTATATATACGCATATATATATATATGTGTGTGTGTATAAATAAAACTTATTCAAGTATGTAACATACATAAAATAAAACGTACAGAAACTTTGTTAACATACATAAATGTTTTGCATACATTATATAACATACATTATATAACATTTGTTACAGAAATTGGTGATGATGATGAAAACCAAAATGATAGCGAAGAAGAACCTGCTGTTCTACATGCAATTGTACAAACTGGCGCAGCATTTCGTTTGGATTTTGCACAGCGGCATTTTGACTACTGATTAAATTTTAACTTTAGTGAAACATGAGTTAGT